ATCCAGAGGCTGGCTAAGTGGATTGTGCACTTGGCTGTACGATTTAAACACCAGGCTCCCTGCACATGGCTTGCTCCCCCTTAGCCCCTCAGGCTGACGCCAGCTCCCCACTCCTTTCCCCACCTGCAGCAGCAGCACGTCATTCAGGTTCTGCTGGGGGTCATAGCCATTCTCGCTGACGCTCCTGATGGAGAACGTCTGCCGGGACCGCTCCCGACGCCTCAGGTCATAGGCACCCAGCACCACGGTGGCAATCCCAGCGTTCCTAAGAGCGGGCGGGGACAGATACCAGGCTGGGCTTCCCCACAAGCCCCCAGCCTTCTACACTCACCAGCGGGCACTTACATGGGGGCAGGCTTGCAAATAAGGTAGGGAATTACCAGCCTGCTGGCTCACGGCCCGGGAGCCAGAGAAAGGACATCAGTGATGGTCAGGCCTCTGTTCATCCTCCTTCTGTAGCTGCATCTCGCTCTGTTTCCAGGGCCCCATTTCCCTCTCTAAGCCCCTCAACCCTTCCTAAGACCAGGCCCCCTTGCCAAGCCCCTTCCCTCCTCACCTGCTAGGCACCCCCCCGGCCCCCCGAGCTCTCTCCCGCTCCCAGCCCCCCTGCCCACTCCATGGCCCCCGTCTCACCGGCTCTGGAAGCAGCTGGCCGCTGTCAGGACAAAGTTGGGGTGGATCAGAGCGCCCCCACAGAAGTGCCTCCCTTGTTTCTGGATGGAAGCCAGGAATGGGAGCTCCTCCGGCCGGGCCTTCCTGCCGCCCACTATGTCCACCAGAGGGGCCGAGCCTGGGGGGAAAAGGAGGGTGTGTTGCAGCCCCCCAGTCTTAGCCCCATACCCAGAGAGACCCCAGCCTCCCGCACTCCTGTTCCCTAAAAGGACAGGTCCCCACCCTCCCGGGGCTGGTCGGGGCCGGCTTGCCTGTGTGGCCTGGGCCTGGTTGCTTCACTGTCCCTCCCTGAGCCTTGTGTCTGGGAAATTGGGGCCGACACCCGCCAGTCCCTCTCCCCCAGGCCTGTCCCCTGCAGTTGAACCCCTGCACAGATGCAGACACCTGGCCTGGGGCAGCACTCACCAGCCCTGGAGGTTGCTAGCAGGCTGGCCAGCACGGCCAGGAGTCTGAGTGCTGTCATGATGGGGCCGCTGAGGGTGGCTTGGGACAGGGCGCCTTTATACCCTGGGGCCTCAGCCGTTAGCACACACACCCCCAGGTCCAGCCCCTCCTGGCAGGAGCAGAGGAAGTTGCCCAAAACCTCTCCAGTTGGCCGCTCCTGGAACCTGCCTGGACTCCCCAAGTGCCAGCCTGCACCCTCTGTCTTCCCCTCTGGATACTGGGCCACCCCTTGGTGTGGGTCAGGCCATCACCCAGCCGCCACTTGTAGCTCTGCCCGACTTCCTAGCCTGAGTGCCGGGGCCCATCACTGCCCACCTGGCCTGGGATTGAGTTCTGCTGGCTTCGTGTGTGTGTGTGTGTGTGTGTGTGTGTGTTCTTTACTGCTTTTTATTTTATTATTTATTTGGCTGTGTCAGATCTTAGTTGGGGCATGTGGGATCTTTCAATTGCAGCATGCGGGATCTAGTGCCCCTACCAGGGACTGAACCTGGGCCCCCTGCATTGGGAGCGTGAAGTCTTTGCCGCTGGACCACCAGGGAAATCCCAGCTTTTTTTTTTTAAACAGCTTTATTGGGATATGATTCAAGTACCATACAATGCGCTGGATTAAAGCATGCAGTTTCATGGTTTTCAGTATCTTCACAGAGTTATGCAGCCATCACCCCAATTTTAGAACATTTCATCACCCAAAAGTAAAAAGTAGCTATCAGAAGTCACACCCTGTCCCCCAACCCCTGATAACCATGAACCCACTCTCTGTGCCTATGGATTTGCCTGTTCTTGACGTTTCCCATCAGCGGAATCACACAAACTCTGTGGCCTTTTGTGGCCAGCTTTTCACCTACAGGATTTTTACCTGTAGGTATGTGGCTGGGTCCCCCACCTGCCCTTAGTCTGTGCATCTATATAGTGGGCAGGTGCATGGAGCCCCCAGAGCCTTGAGGTGCTGGAGACATTGCCTGCCCTTCTCCGGCCTCAAAGTAGGGTCTTCAGAAGTTTTAGGCATCCAGTACCTGAGCAAGAGATGAGGACAAGCATAGAGAAAGACAGGGTTGCGTATCCAGAATATATAAAGAGCTCTCACAGCTCAACAACAAAAACAAACCATCCACTTAAAAATGGGCAGAAGGTTTGAATAGACATTTCTCCCAAGAGACACAAACGGCCAACATGCCATGAAGATGTTTAAAATTATTAGTCATCAGGGAAATGCAAATGAAAACAACAGCGAGACACCACTTCACACCCACTAGGATGGCTAGGATGAAAAGGGCAGAACAAACACAGTGTTGGTGAGGAGGTGGGAAACTGGAACTCAGACACACTGGCTGAGATGCAAAACCCTGCAGCCGCTAGGAAAAGCCAGGCAGCTCCTCAAAGACTGAATTATCCTGTTACTCAGCACCTCCACTCCAAGGTGCAGGCCCAGTAAAACTGAAAACAGGGCCCATAAACCTGCACATGCATGTTCACAGTGTGAGTCACAGCTGCCAGGATCTGGAGGCAACCAAATGCCCTTCAGCAGACAAACGTGTCCCTCCACACATGAGAGCATCCCTCAACTGTGAAGAGGGGTGAAGCCCTGACACTTGCTACCACATGGAGAGACCCTGAGAACACGATGCTCGGTGAGAGAAGCAGACACAGAAAGACACACAGGGTGTGATTCCACTTATGGGAAACTTCCAGAACAGGGCGATCCACAGACACACAGGGTGGGTTCCTGGTTGTCAGGGACTGGGGGTTTAGGGGGTTAGGGGAATAATAGCTGAAGGAAACAAGGTTTCTTTGGGGGACATGGAATGTTCTAGAATTAAATGGTTGCACAACTCTAAATGCTCCAAAAGCCAGTGGATGGTATAACTTACGATGGCTGATCTTATGTCAAGTGAATTTCACATCAACTTAAAATTTTTACTTATTTTTGACACCTCAGCTTTTATTATTTACTTATGGCTCTGCTGGGTCTTTGCTGCCATGTGGGCTTTCTCTAGCTGCAGTGAGCAGGAACTGCTCTCTAGTTACATTGTGGGGGCTTCTCACTGCAGTTGCTTCTCTTGCGGAGCATGGCCTCTAGGGCATGTGGGCTTCACCTGTTTCCACACTCGGGCTCAGCAGTTGTGGCACATGGGCTTAGTTGCTCTGCAACATGTGGGGTCTTCCTGGACCAGAAATTGAACCCACATCCTCTGCATTGGCAGGCGAATTCTTAACAACTGGACCATCAGGGAAGTCTGATGCCTCAAGTATTTTTTAAAAGAGGATTTATTTCCAAGGTGACACTAAGAGGTTGGGCTGGTGGTGGACCCTACGTCTCAGGTCACCAGTTGGTGTCTGGGGCTGTGGGGGGCTCTTCCAGGGCAGTACTGGGGAAGGTGGAGGGAGCAGGTGTCAGGGTCCCCTGCTAGGCCTCAGGGTCCTCCGCCGAGCTGAAATGGTGGGGTCCTGGGGTTCAGACTGATCCCTGCTGTGTTTATGGCCCCACAGCTGAGCTGTGTCCCTAGCACAGCCCCCAGGACCGGACCCTACCCCAGTCCAGTGTCCACCCCCCCAAGACTGCTTCCCATCTCCACCCTCCTAGGATCCCACCCATGCTTCCCCCCACCCCCTACCCCGAGTCCCCAGCATGCCACCCACACCGTCCGTTCCTATGGACCCAGCTGCCGTCTCTCCCAGAGCACAGCCGGTTGAGCTGGGTGACGCTGGGGTCCAGAGATCCCTTCCTACATCCCTTCCTACTGGGTGATCTCAGGGGCCCCTTTCTGGGCCTCAGTTTCCCTGTCTGTGCAGCAGGACATTAACGCCCCCCCGCCCCCAACACATAGAGCTGTGTTGAGCATCCAGTGTATTAATGTGTTCAGGAGTCTCTGAGCAGCACCTGGTGTGTTCCACCCTCTTGCCTGCTCTAAACTCTGCCATGGCTCCCTAGTGCCCAGAATCAAGTCATCACCCTCCCACCCCCCACCCCTGGCTGCTGCTGAGCCACGTACCATCAGAGCTGGACCTCGCTTCCTTTCCACCACTGGGGATCCAAGGAGGAAGAAGCCCCCCCCCACCACTCCTGATACTGCCCCAGACTCTCTCCTGGTTCCCCAAGCTGTCAGGAAGGTCTCTGGGGACATTCCTTCGTTTCTGCCCATGCCCCCAGGAGGCATCAAGCATGATTGCCCCATTTCCCTTCCTCCTACCTCCAGAGGACAGTTTGTGGTCACCTTTCAACACCAGCGATTCCCAACGGCTGTCCAGCCCAGGTTCTGCCCCTGCCTGGCTGGGAAACGGAGTCCAAGTGGGCATCAGGCCTGGGGAGGTGGGACAGACATGCCAAATGTGTCCCCTACACCAAGCCGTCTTGTTATGCCCATTTCCAGGTGAGGGAACTGAGACCCCGGTGGGATCAACTCTCTGGACCCCACCCTTAACCACACGGAGGATCATCTTTGAAGACACATGGAGTTGATTGTCTTAACACAAGAAGGGCCGCAGCCAGGAAGGGTCTGGAGTATGGATGGCTGCACACACTGGGCTCTCCGGCCGCGCAGCCCTCCCCCCACCCCCCCATCCAACTGGACGTTTAACCGCAGGACTTATTTTGAGGGTCTGTCCCGGTTCTCGACGGCTCCCCCGTGACTGTACCGGGCTAGGTGTACAGGAGATAGTGAACAAAATGAGCCAAAGAAAATCCTGCTGTCTGGGGCCTGGAGACTGTGGACAGTGATTTAAGTGCCCGGGGGCCTGTTTCCCCATTTGTCAAATGATGGTTAGCTGGCCCCCACCCCTCATGACTGTGGAAACACCTGCAAACAGCAAGCGCTGCCTAAGGAGCCTCACGTGAATTCACCACGAGGGCCCTCCCGCTCCGCGCGCATCGCGGAGCATCCCGGAGCTTCCCGGGCCTTGCGCCTCCGATGCTGCGAGCCAGGCGAGGGGCCGCGGTCGGACCAGTGGAGGGTGGACCCCGAGTGGCTGGGGGAAGATGTAGGGCAGGTGGGCGAGGCGCGGGCCCGGGAGCGAGACAGCGCCCCTACCCCCACCCCCAGCTTCTTTTGTCTCCCGATGGCCCAGGCGCCCAGGGAACTCGCCATGGAAACGCGTACCGGGGAGGGGGGCAGAGACGCGGGAGGCCCGGAGACCCCGCCCGCGTCCAGCCTGGATGGGGCTACCCGGGACCATCTGAGCCGCCCGGGAGGGGAGGAGCCCTCAGACTCCGGTTGGTGCTCCCCGCCGCGGGGGACGTAGATCCCAGAGACCCAGAGACCGAGGGCGCGGAGCCGGGAGGCGGGGACGGCGACGGACGCGCGCGGCGCCCTCGAAGCGCCGAGACAAAGGCGCAGCCTCCAGGCCGCCAGGCGCGGGGTCTCAGACCGGGCGGGGCCACTCGCTCTCCGCCCCCCCCTCCTCCGAGCGCGGGCGCGCCAGGTGAGGGGCCTGCGGGCGGAGCGCGGACCCCACCCCTCCACGGGCTCCGGTCCTCCGGGTCCCGGAGGCCCCAGCCCTGACTCGCGGGTGGGACCCCGGCCCGGAGGCTCTCGACCAGGCCGACCCCGCCCTCTCTGCCGAGCCCTCTTGCGGCCCCTCCATCCGGGGAGGCAGTCGGAGGGTTGGGCAGGACCGCAGTGCGCCAGGGGCGGCCGCGGCCCCCGCCTCGCGGCCTCAGTTTCCCTGGGCGTTTTCTGTGGATCCCGGCCCGCCGCTCCTCCGCGGGCTCCGGGCACCTGGTCCCCCAGGGCTCAGTCTGCGCCTCCCCTCCTCCAGCGCGGCTTTGTCCCCTCCAACTACGGTTTGTGGCGCCCCCGGCACGATGATCTCGACCAAGGAGAAGAATAAAAGCCCGAAGGACAGCATGACGCTTCTGCCCTGCTTCTACTTCGTGGAGGTGACTGGGGGGAGGTCGCGCTGGTGGGGGCGGGGCAGAGGCCTCCGTTCAGCCGGCCCTGGGGACCCTCACGCCGAGGGACCGGGGCGAGCACAGCCAGGGGCCTGGGTGTGTGAGGGCGCGGGGAGGACGGTCAGAACAGTTGGGCTTTGCAGGACGAGTAGGAGTTGCAAGAGAATGTTCTGGGCTTTGCGGGAGCTGGACAGATGCTCGAGGCGGGACCTTCAGTCCGGGGTTCGGGTCAGCAGCTCACACGAAGGGGCTGGAGCAAGGTGCTGGGCGCGGTGGGCGGGCGGGGAGGGGGGCGCGGTATGGGTGCGATGTCTTCCTGCAACGTGAAGGCCGGAGGCCTGAGTGTCTGAATTGAAATTCCTCCTCTGCTAATCGTCGAGGCTCGTGCACTTCCTGAGCTCTGACAGAACAGGCTGCGCATGTAGTGAGGGCCTCAGGAGTGCTGCAAAATAAGATAGTTAAGTGCAGCCACCGGGCACATCCTGAGCGCTGGTGAAGTGCTGGTGAGGCGAATCCACCTGATCAGTACCTGGGTTACCCACAATGCCTCTTACTCTACACGCCAGGAAACCCGGCTGGAGTGAGGGGCCCAGACTAGGCGTGGGTGGAGAAGTCCCCCTGACCTGAGCAGATAGTACCCAACCCTACCCTGAGCAGGGTCACCCAGATGGCTGGTTACCTCCCCCACAGGCAGAAAACCTGGTTAGTTTTTCAAGTTTGCATTTGAATCCTTGTTACAGTAGGTTATTCCTCCTCAGTGTTCTACAGGCCACACGGAGGCAGCCCCCACCCTCAGCTCCCCTCAACTTCCCACTACTCTCACCTGTGTCCCTTTCCAGAAAGCCTTTCATCCAGGGCTTACCAGGTGGTGCTAGTGGTAAAGAACCGGCCTGCCAATGCAGGAGAGTAAGAGTTGTGAGTTCAATCCCTGGATCAGGAAGATCCCCAGGAGAGCAGGGCAACCCACTCCAGTATCCTTGCTTGGAGAATCCCCATGGACAGTGAGCCTGGTAGGCTACAGTCTGTGGGGTGGCAAAGAGTCCAACAGGACTGAAACGACTATAGCCAGCCTCCCATTCAAGTTCACCGTATGTAGCCCTTCCCCCACCACCTGTAGAAACGAAGGTTCTGCCCTTGGCCTTTTTTTTCTTTGGCTGCAGGCAGGGTCTTAGTTGTGGAATGCAGGATCTTTAGTTGCAGCATGTGGGATCTAGTTCCCTGACCAGCAATCAAACCTGGGCCCCTGGGAGTGCGGAGTCTTAGCCACTGGACCACCAGCGAAGTCCCTGCCCTTGGTGTTTCTAGCAGAGATCTTTGTTTACCATTGCCCCATCATTTTTCACTGCCCCGTAGTACTCCAGTGCCAGCCCTAGGGAGTTGGGCATTTGGGGGGTTTCCTAGCCTTGATGTCTCACAGGCATTCCTAGGAGGAGACTGTAAACTCTTTGGCCTGTGTCACCCTGCACAGAATGCAGAGCTTGTCTGCATTGTGCATCTGTAGCGAGCAGGGTGTGGAAAGATCCCAGATTCCTCCTACTGAGGCCTCTGCACTTGCCTGTTTCCCCATAGTTGTGTCTGCACCTGTGTTGGTGATGTTTGAATTTTGACCAACCTGAGAGGTGCAAAGCCATATCCCAGCCCTGGTCTGCATTTCCTGTACTGCCAGCATTATGTTTGTGTGTGTGTGGTAAGTTCCTTCAGTAGTGTCGGGCTCTTTGCGACCCTGTGGGCTGTAGCCCACAGGTTCCTCCGTCCATGGGCTTCTCCAGGCAGGAATACTGGAGTGGGTTGCTAGTTGCTATTTCCTCCTCCAGGGGATCTTCCAGACCCAGGAATCGAACCTGCATCACTTACATCTCCTGGATTGGGAGGCAAGTTCTTTACCACTAGTGCTGCCTGGAAAGTCCAAGAATACTGGAGTGGGTAGTCACTGCCTTCTCCAGGAGATCTTTCCGACTCAGGGATCGAACCCGGGTCTCCTGAATTGCAGGCAGATTCTTTACCGTCTGAGCCACCAGGGAAGCCCAGTATTACATTATTTCATTCTTAAATACACATGCCCCCAAAGCAAGCACGCTAGCCCGCCATCGTGTGTGAATGATTTTCCATTGGGGCAGATATGCTCTGAGGGGTTCCTGGTTTTCAGCTGAGGGTCTCTGGAAGCAGTGAGAAGTGGGTGGTGGGATTTAGGAGGCACTTACAGACCCTCAGGGAGTGGCAGACTCTGAAGTGGGGCCCCTGCTACCAACCCACCCTGCCACCAGGTGCTTCCAGCTGGGTCTGGCAGGGAGATGTGGGCAGAGGGCTGGAGGAGAAGCAGGGGGAGCTGGCCAGGCGTTACAGCCACTTTGCCGGGGGGCTTGGAAAGGCATGGGGGAGGTCTTCAATGTGACCCTCTTGTGGAAAGATTTGCTGATGTTACAGCTGTACCCTAAACCCTCTCTGTGGCTGGACACCATCTGCCCACTGAGCCAGATGCTAAGTGCTTTCAATGTGTTTGCTCATCCAGTCCTACACAGACATCCTGCGGGGTGGCCACTGTATTGTTCCTGTTTTCAGCTCGGAAGACTGAGGCACAGGGAAGGGGAGGAGCCGTGATACAAGCCCAGGCAGGTGGCCATGAACCGCTTCACTCAGTTGCCTTGGGCCTCCTGCCTTCATGCAGCAGGTGCTCCATAAATGCTTCTTGGACACCACCAGCCCAGCTCCTTCAAACCCAGCTCACCCAACTTTGGCATTTCCTCTCTGGAAGCCTCCAGCCGGGATTGCATGGAGAGCGGAGGCCCTGCTCAAGGCACTGTAGAGAGAGAGTGGAGGTGGGAGCTTCCCAAGGCAGCTGAGCCCCTTAGGAGCCCACCTACACTTTGGTCCCAGAGGTGCTGGCCCCAGTGGATGCATCAGTTTGAGACCCATGGACCAGAGGGGAGGCAGAGGACACTGGGAGGGTTTGCTTCCACTGGAAACTGCTCAGTCAGTGCTTTGCAGTGTGAGTGGGTGAGTGAGTGGCGGTGTAAAGCCTGCCCCGCTGCCCTCCTCGAGCACACTGTCAGCGACTCGGTCAGGTGCAGCTCAGCTTTCCCGAACCTCAACCTCCCACCTGTTCCTCATAACTGCTCTGAGCAAGAAAGAATGTCATGTGTACCCTGTGCCCATCACCTGGGGGCACATGATCAGGTTGTGCAGAAGGACGTTGTGTGAATAAGCAACTCAAAGAATTCATTTATAAATAAAAATTCATTTATTCAGGCCCAACACCCATTTTCCCGGGGCTTAGTGTGAAGCTGGCATGTAGGGGTATGGGGTGCAGAGGAGAAAAAGCAGCAGAAGAGATGAACAGGCTGGAGCCAGGAAGGGTGTCTCCAAGGAGGGCCAGGACCCCAGAGGCAGGTCTAAGTGCATCCATCCATCCATCCCTGAGAGAAGAGGCCAAGAGGAAGGAACCTGTCTGCCCTTCCCAGATTGTTCAAGGCAGCAAAGGTGCCTTGGAGAGAAATGAATGAAGTGATTAGTGGGTGGATGGATGGATTGATGGATGGATGGATGGATGGAAGGAAGGATGGGTGACTGGGTAAGTGGATGGGTAGAAGGAATGAAAAAGTAAGCAAGCAAACATAAGTGGATGGATAGAAGGTAGATTGATTGGTGAAGGATGGAGGATGGTTGCTTGGATGGATGGAAAAAAGGGAGGATGGATGGTGGACTGGATGGATGACAGTTAACTGGGGGAAATAAGTTGATGGATAGATGGATCGGTGCATGGTGGGTGAGTGGGTCAATGGATGGGTAGATAGATGGGTGAGTAAGTAGATGTATATATGGATGGATGGAACAACCAAACAGGCATAAGTAGATGGATGAATGAATGGTGGATTGATGGATGGAGATGAAAGATAGATAGATGGATGATAGGTGGGTGAATGAGTCAGGGCATGGATAGATGGGTGGTACATGGGAGCATGGGTGGTCAGATGGATGGATAATGAATAAATGGATGGAAAGGTGTTGTAAGTTTATGGGTGGATGTTTTTGAATAAATGAATGATGGATGGGTTGATGGAGGGACAGGTGAGTGGATGGGTGGGTAGGTTGATGGGTGGAAGGAAGGATGGAGGATGGATGGCAGGATGGATATGTGGCTGGCTGGGTGGCCTGATGGATGGGAAATGAATAAATGGATAGAAAGATATTGGAAGTTGATGGATAGAGGGATGGGTAATTGGATGTGTGAGTTGATGGATAGATGGTAAGTGGATGGATAGTTGATTCATGGATGGATGTGAGGATGGGTGGATGGAAGGAAGCGTGGGTGGGTAGATGAGTGGTTGGGCAGAAGGATGAATGGAAACATGGGCGGGTGAGTAGGTGGGTGGATGGCTGATGGAAATTTATGGAGGGATGGATGGGAGAATGGATAAATGGATCAACAGATGGGTGGATGGGCGAGTGGTTTGATGGTTAAAAAATGGATAAATGAATAGATGGAGGTTAATGGATGGAGGGATGGGTGTCTGGATGAATGGATGATTGAATGGACGGTAATGGATAGATAGTGGATTTAGGAATGGATGATGGATTGATGGATTTATTTTGGGAGGGAGGATGGCAGGTGGGTAGATGAATGGATGGGAGAGTAAGTGAATGGATGTATGGGTAGATAGATGGAAGGAAGCAGGTGTGGATGGATGATGGATGAATGGGTGAATACATGAAGGAAGGAGGGGTGGATGAATGGTAGATTGGATGGATGATGGATGAATGGGTGAATACATGAAGGAAGGAGGGGTGGATGAATGGTAGATTGGATGGATGATGGATGAATGGGTGAATACATGAAGGAAGGAGGGGTGGATGAATGGTAGATTGGATGGATGATGGAAGGACAGCAGAAGGGATGTGTATATGGATGGATGGACAGAAGGGAGGGTGGGTGGGTGTATAGATGGACAGATGGGTAGTGGATTGATGGAAAATGAATAATTGGATGAATGGATGTTGGAATTTGGTGGGCGGAGGATAGGTGTTTGGATGAAAGGATAATTGGATGAGTGGATCGATGGGATGATGGATAGATGATAGGTGGATGGATGGGAGGATAGGCAGGTAGATAGGATGAATGGAAGGAAGAAAGGAAGGAAAGATGGTGGATGGATGGATGGATGATAGATGGGAGGAAGGATGAGTTAGTAGGTGGGTATCAGATGGATAATGAATAAATGGATGGATGGATGTTGAAAGTTGATGGACAGAGGGGTGGGTGTTTGGATGAAAAGATAAATGGTTTAATTGGTGGTAGCTGGATGGATGTAATAGTGAATGGATATATGGATGGATGGGTTGATGGAGGAAGGAAGCCAGCATGAGTAAATGGATGAATGGATGGTGGATTGATGGATGGATGATGGAAGACAATGGCTAGATGGGTGGGTGGATGGATGGAAGGAATGAAAGATGAGGGGATAGATGGATAGAAGGGAGGATCAGTGGATAGACAGATGGGTGGGGGTCAGATGGATGGAAAATGACTAAATGAATAGATGGATGTTGGAAGTTGATAGGGTGCTTAGTGGATTGATGAGTTAATCTTGGGTGCAGGAATGGCTCTGTTAGATGCATGTATGGGTGGTGGGTGACTCGGTTGATGAATGAGCTGATCAGTGGGTGAACAGCACAGATGGGTGGATGGGTCAGTGATAGGACTGAATTTGTGGGTGGATGACTCACTCAGTGAACGAGCATGGTGTGACCCTGGCCAGCATTCTTCCTGCAGCTGCCCATAGTGGCATCCTCCATCGTGTCCCTTTACTTCCTGGAGCTGACCGACCTCTTCAAGCCGGCTAAGGTGGGCTTCCAGTGCTACGACCGCACGCTGTCCATGCCCTACGTGGAGACAAGTGAAGAGCTCATCCCACTGCTCATGCTCCTCAGCTTGGCCTTTGCTGCACCCGCAGCCTCGGTGAGTCCCAGGGCAGGGCCGGGCTGGCTGTGAGCCCCCGGCTGGAGCCTTGCTGAGCACCTCCATGTCCACAGATCATGGTGGGCGAAGGCATGCTGTACTGTCTACAGTCCCGGCTGTGGGGCCGCAGCGGGGGCCCAGGTGGGCCCGAGGGCAGCATCCACGCCGGCGGCTGCAACTTCAACTCCTTCCTTCGGCGGACGGTGCGCTTTGTAGGTGAGTCCCCCATGGCATCTGAGCACTGAGGGTGGTGGGTCTGGCCCCAGCTCCCGTGTCTGGCCCTTACACTCCCACTCCACAGGTGTCCACGTGTTTGGCCTGTGTGCCACGGCCCTGGTGACCGACGTGATCCAGCTTGCCACGGGCTACCACGCACCCTTCTTCCTGACTGTCTGCAAACCCAACTACACCCTGCTGGGCACGTCATGTGAGGCCAATCCCTACATCACACAGGACATATGCTCTGGCCACGACACCCATGCCATCCTGTCTGCCCGGTGAGCATGCCTGGCCCTGTCCCAACAAGCATGTGGGGAAACTAAGGCAGGTCCCAGAGCCTCAGGGCTCACCTGGGTGTTTCTTGCAGGAAGACCTTCCCATCCCAGCATGCCACTCTGTCTGCCTTTGCTGCTGTCTACGTGTCGGTGAGTGCTGCCCCGCACCCCAGATGCCCCACAGGGACCAACTGCCCTGACCACCCACCTGTCCCCTGGCAGATGTACTTCAACTCAGTCATCTCGGACACCACCAAGCTGCTGAAGCCCATCCTGGTGTTCTCCTTCGCCATTGCGGCAGGCGTCTGCGGCCTCACCCAGATCACGCAGTACCGCAGCCACCCGGTGGATGTCTACGCAGGCTTCCTCATTGGGGCCGGCATAGCGGCCTACCTGGTGAGGGGCCAAACAGGGAGGCCCGAGGGGGAAGGCCAGCCCCACCCACCCTGGGGGACGCTACCATCTTCTCCCTTGGGAGCTGGAGGCAGAATCTCATGAGCCCAGACTTGCCAAATGTGCAAAGTAGCCAGAGGCCAGAATTTGTCCTGTGGGGAGAAAGGTGGACTTCCTCCTCTCTGACCCCCAAGGCATATCTGCGGCCCGGTGGGGACCCTGGTCTCCAGCCACAGCCCTCACACCCAGTCCCCATCTCATCTCTAGGCCTGCCATGCAGTGGGCAACTTCCAGGCCCCACCGGCAGAGAGACCAGCGGCCCCGGTGCCAAATAAGGACGCGCTGAGGGCCCTGACCCAGCGGGGCCACGACTCAGTGTACCAGCAGAACAAGTCCGTGAGCACCGATGAGCTAGGTCCACCCAGCCGGCTAGAGGGTGTGCCCCGGCCTGTGGCCCGCGACAAGACCTCGCTGGGCAGCCTAAAGCGGGCCAGCGTGGATGTGGACCTGCTGGCCCCGCGCAGCCCCATGGGCAAGGAGAACATGGTGACCTTCAGCCACACACTGCCCCGTGTCAGCACGCCCTCGCTAGACGACCCCGCCCGCCGCCACATGACCATCCATGTTCCACTGGACGCCTCCCGCTCCAAGCAGCTCATTAGTGAATGGAAGCAGAAGTCGCTGGAGGGCCGAGGCCTGGGACTACCGGACGAGGGCAGCCCTGCACACCTGCGGGCGCCTGCAGAGCCCATGGCTGAGGAGGAAGAGGAAGAGGAGGAGGAGGAAGAGGAGGAGGAGGAGGGGGAGGAAGGGGGTCCAGCACCTCCCTCACTGTACCCCACAGTCCAGGCTCGGCCAGGGCTCGGGCCACGTGTCATCCTGCCGCCTCGGGCTGGACCGCAACCTCTGGTTCATATCCCCGAGGAGGGGGCACAGGCAGCAGCTGGCCTCTCCCCCAACAGCAGCGCGGCTGTGCGGGCCAAGTGGCTCATGATGGCTGAGAAGAGCGGAGCTGTGGTGGCCGCGGCCTCGGCCCAGCCCCGTGTGGCCAACCCACCCCGGCTGCTGCAGGTCATCGCCATGTCCAAGGCTCCAGGTGCACCTGGCCCCAAGGCAGCCGAGACGGCGTCCTCATCCAGTGCCAGCTCTGACTCCTCCCAGTACAGGTCCCCGTCTGACCGCGACTCTGCCAGCATCGTCACCATTGATGCACACGCACCCCACCACCCTGTGGTCCACCTGTCTGCGGGTAATGGGCCCTGGGAGTGGAAGGCAGCAGGAGTCGGGTCCAAGGGGGTGGAGGGAGAGAGTGGCTATGAGCTGGGGGACCTGGCCCGCAGCTTCCGCAGTGGGGCCAAGCCCCAGGGCATCTCCCCAGGCTCATCAGTCAGTGATGTGGACCAGGATGAGCCACGGTTTGGGGCTGTGGCCACTGTCAACCTGGCCACAGGTGAGGGGCTGCCCCCACTGGGCGCAGTCGATGGTGCCCTGGGACCAGGCAGCCGGGAGTCAACGCTGCGGCGCAAAGCAGGCCTGGCGCTTGGTGATAGGGAGGTGGCAGAGGCTGAGGCTGAGAGCTACTACCGGAAGATGCAGGCTGCACGCAGGTTCAAGGACTGAGGGTGGGGATGGGGGGTAGAGCAGGGGGTCCTGGTAGACAATAAAAGATGATCCTGGAGAAGAGCTCGCAGTCTGAGTCTTTCTGGAGTACTGGGTGTAGAGGTGGGGCTGAAACCCCCCCACACATGAAGGGTAACATGGCCGAGTTTACAGAAGAAACAGCAGTGAAACCAACAGGCCCAATAAAGAGGGGAATCAAGTGCAGGATACAGAGAGTTTATTCAGAGTCCAGTACAGACTGGCCAGACCGCCAGGAAAAAAGAGCCTACAGAAAAGGTAGAAGTTGTTATAAAATCGCTTTAATTCAGTTCTCTCTGCATTACAAGCCGGCAGCGGGCGGGGCCTGCCGTGCTCCTTACAATACTGAGCCTGTAATTGCTGTTATCAAAATATACATCTGTGTCACCATAAAAAACCGCATTTGCTGCCCCTCACGTCTTACAACAGGTATAAAAAATTATAAATATTTACACCCTTGTTCCACCCCGACATGGAAACTTGAGGCCCAGGCCCCGAGCGAGGGCCGGCCAGCAGAGGCCTGCGTACGGGGCACCCCTTGGACCCGTGAGTGCAGGACGAGGCATGAAGACCGGAGCGGAGGGCTGCTGCCCCACCTCCTGGGGTCCCAGCATTAGAGGCAGGAAAATAACAGAAACAAAACTTTGGTCCAAAATTTGCAGGAAAAAAAGAAACCCTGAAAGTTGAAGAGCACTTGTCCTTGGAGAAAGGACAGTCAGGTGTAAGGCATCGGGCGGCAGATGCCGGCCCCGCTGTGTCTGCCCTGGAAACTAGATCCTGCCCTGCGACTCAATGACAAGGAATAAAATAAAAGTACAGTATACAAGGTCATACCACAAGGAAAAAGTTTAGGTTACACTCATACCATTTTTATCATCTTGCTATATAAAAAGTTACTTAAAACTATTTCTTTTGCATATAAATGAAAAAGATTAGAATATTTGGTCAACTGGAAATATTGCTAGGCACAGGTGTCTGCAGCTGCATCGAAGCATAATACAGAGATTACAGTGAAAACAAAGCTGAAGAAGCAACAGGGAAGGGTCCGGGGAGGCCCCAAGGCTGGGGGGAGAATCACACACTTGATTAAAGGATTGGGTGGCGGCCACAGCCCCCCACCACGCCAGGCACATGATCCCAGGGGAGGCTGACCCCGCAAGCCCTGCCAGAGCAGCGGGTTTAAGGCACAAGAAAGCCAAGTGGGGGTTTAGGAGCGCCCGCCCTGCAGGCAGCAGAAGGCACGGGCAGGGGCTGGGTGGGTGGTGCCATCCACTGTCACCAAGAGCCTGAGGCTGGCACCCCACCTCCCCAAGGTGAGCAAGTGAATTAGATTTAATTTCTTTTAAAAACAGGTAAACTGATTTCTCTTTTAAAAAAATAAAATCTCTGGTCTTTTAAGGTCACTTCAGCTGCTTTTTAAAGTGGCTTTTTATCTGGAATGATGGAAGTTGTCGCCGGCTGCCCGGCAGGCTGGTCCTGGGTGGCGGCCTAGATGGTGGACTTGGAGAAGGACACCCGCAGGTGGTGGTTCTCACCCAGGTCATGGTTGTGCAGGTCGATAAGCGCCTGGATGGCCTCCTCCACTGAGCCCATCTGGATCAGCGCCATCTTGCGGTCCTTCCTGCAAGGGGTGGGGGAACACAGGTATGAGGAGCCGCAAGGGGCCAGGGAGCCTGGGGACAGTGGGGGAGGGGGCTCTGCTCACTGGAAGAACTTGAACCCTTTCACGATCCCGCCGTTACTGGAGAAGAGAAGCTTGAGGTCTTCCTCAGAGATGGAGGGCCTGCAAGTGGAGAGAGGTATGAGCCTGTCTGTGCAAGGTCAAGGTCATTCCCTCAGGACAGGAATGTCCAGGGATGGGTGAGGGCCCCAGAAATGAGGTATCATTAAGATAATGGAAGCATTTGAGAGACAAAGGCACTCACGGGATGTTGGAGAGGTGCAGAGTGGCTGAGGGTGGGAAGATGTTCTGGAAGTTCTTGGAGCCAGGCTTCTTGAAGCGGTGCAGGGGTGAGTTTCCATAGTCCTTGGTCAGGCCCTGGTCCTCCTGGCCCTCACGGGGCAGCTGCACGCTCTGGTGCTTAGAGAGTGTGATGCGCACCGGCTTCCCGTGCAGCTTGTGCCCATTGAGGTGGCTCATGGCTGGGGTGGGTGGGTGGGGGGAGACAGCACACGTGACCTGAGGGCCCTGGGCACCACCCACAGCCCCGCCCTCCCAGGCCACCCCTTACCCAGCTGGGCCTGGCTCCCATCAGCCATCTGCACCAGGGCGTTCTCCTTCTTGTTGAACAGGACCTTCACGCGCTGCACATCTCCATACACGCCTTCAAGAGCACAGGGACAGGGGGCTGAGCCCCAGGCCCCAGCCGCCCACCCGCCGTCCCCGCGACCCACACTCCCACACAGGGCTGGCTCTCCCCAGTTTGCTTATTCTGCCTCTGAGAACCTGTCTAGACACAGGGAGCATGACTGGGAGGGCTGCCTTCCGCAAAGAAGCCATAAAATCCAGGAAAGGTCAATTGCCAAGGAACCATCCTGTAGCATGCTACCGACACATTTACGCTGCCAAGGGCATGCGGGCAGGGAACCGTGCTCTAGAGTCCAGATAAATACGCAACCGCAGCCCAGGCCGCACGCGTCGGAATCTCAGGGCGTAACGACCACCTCAACTACATGAAAACAAGGTAATAAAAGTGTGAACGATAACATACCGAAAAGAATAAAGAGGCTTTGGGGTGTGACTCTCTTTAGAGGACAGCAGAGCAAGGCAGCGAGGGACAGGGAAAGGGAGAGGTCAGGGGGCGAGTTGCCAATCGTCCACCACGAGGAGGCAGCCCCGCAGGCGTGCAGGTTGATGGATGATGAAGTTGTCAGGATGTTAATATTCAAGGGCAGGTTGGTTTCCGGAGAGCAGGGTTTGAGGGGGAATTTTGTTTTTTTATTTATTTATGGTTTTGTTTTGTTTCAAGCAACAACAGGAAGCAGAAGTACCGTGCAGTCAGTTGGCAAAGAAATTCCGGATCAGGGCAAGAAAAAAAATTGGGAAAGGGGAAGGGGAGAAAAGAAAAAAAGTAGCAAAAACACAGGTCAGTAAATACATAAGAAAACACGCGGTGCCCCATCAGTCAAGACCACACACATTACAGGCCACACGCCGGGCAGGCAGCTGGAGCACCCTCCTCGGGGAGGAGGTGGCGCCTGCTGGCCCCCCACTCGCTCCCCCAACCAGGCCCTCCAGGAACTGTCTCCTCAGCCCGCACCGGAGCCTCCAGTCAGGCTCGCGGGCGCTGCGAGCGGACAGCTTGACCAGAGGAACTGGGACAGGACTGGGGAGACCGAGAGTCACACGAGGTCAGACAGGCAGGAGAGCAGCTCATTAAACAAGAACCCCGTCTCTCGAGAAGCAAATACTGAGCCTCGATCACTGGACCCCAGCTCCCTGAGCTAACCCAGCCCCGAGACAAGCCAGGTCTGGCTGCCACCTCAGGGACTGGCAGGTGGCCTCAGCTTGCACCCTCCTCTCAAGGCGCTCCTCTGCAGATCAAGGCTCGCTAGGCTGGAAATTTCAAGTTTGTTCTCGTGTACCAAATACTTCCAACTCTCAACATCACGAAATTAGGAATGTAAATTAAGATGTTAAGGAAACAAGAGAACTCCAAGCACTGCGGGAAAGGAGGCAGCAGTGAGTGACGTCAGCGCAGAGAGGAGGATGGGGATGCCCGCGGGCATGGCTGGGCCTGGACCAGCTCCAGAGCCCAGTGCCCGCTCAGAGGCTTCATCTGCACTACGACTGGGGGCACTCCCAACTCCTAATTCCCAGAGGCATCACGTACCTCGGGGTTGAGGTTGCTGACCAGCAGGACAGAGTTGCCTGCCCCCGCCAGGCCCGGGATGGCGATCCGGCCTGCTGCCGCTGCTGCTGCCGCCGCCGACGGAATAGCCAAAGGGGCCAAAGCCCCATGTACATTAGGGACAGAGAGACCTGCAGGGCGAATGGGGTTAGCTGAGTGTGATGCCCAGTCTCCACAAGGTAATCGGTCTTGCCCATCCTCATGCAAACAGAGACGCGGGGGGTGGGTGGGGGCATCAGCCTGGCCCCCAGCCCCGCGACCCTCCATGCTCCTCAGAGCACACCGTACTGGCCTGACCACCTATATGTGCCAACAACACAGAAGACTCAGGCTTCTCGGACGCAGGATCGAGCCCGGTGGCCTTGGCCGTGCGTGCACACAGGTGCCCGTCACCATGCAAGCAGCATGCCGGGCGGAAGAACAGGCTCAGGACTGTTCCGCGTGTGGGTGCCTGGCCCCCAGGAGGGACGCTCAGGTGTGCTCACCCAGTGCATGCCGCTCCGCTTACCAGGCCGCTCAAAATGCACTAGGGGCGCATCCCTTCAACCACAGGCGCTGGTCCTCAGCGGGCTCAGCAACCTGGAAACGCCTGCCCTGTCCAGACTCCGCGCCCAGGAGGCTGGCCCCCCGCACTGCGCCACGTTGGCCGCCGGGGAAGCAGAGCTACTGGCGAGATGTGGACATGCAGAGGCGGCCCTGGGGCGAGTGTGTGAGTACCTGCGGCTTGAGGAATTGCAAAGGTGGGAGGGAAACCAGCTCCTGCATACGGAGAGGCTGACATTATACCAGGCGCACCTAGAAACAAACGAGACACTAATCATCGCACCCACGGGTGCGAGCCGGCTGCCAGGGCCCCACCCACAGGTGCGGGGTGGGCTGTGCGGGCGCCTAGCCTGAACTACGAGTCTTGCCCGGGCGGCCTGCCCCCGGCATCTCACCAAAGGCAGCAGCCATGGTCTGGTCCAGCGAGGGCTGGCTATCACCGGATGGCAGGTCAGGGCGCGTGTAGTCGCGGCTCTTGTCGTTGTTGTACTTGACATTGAGGCTGGTGAGCTTGGAGAAGTCGATGCGCAGTGTACAGCATGCGTTGTAGATGTTCTGGCCGTCCAGTGACTGTGGGGACAGCGAGGAGGCTGTCAGCAGGCGCCTCGCGGCCACGGGCACGGCTGCCCTGGGGACCACTCACCAGCTTGGCGTGCTGGGCGCTCATGGGGTCAGCATATTGCAG